GCAGGAGGCCAGCCTGGACTAGAACGATCCTGTCTCAAAACAGAAAAAGACGGGACTCCCTATGCCTGCTCTCGGCGGGGTGATGCTGGGCCTGAGCCTGACCAGTGCACCCTCCACCTTCCCCCCAGCACAGCTGAGGGGACACAGGACCGAAGCCAGGGACACCGTGTATGGTGCTGGGGAAGGGTCGAGTGAGAGGGTGGCAGTGAGGGCTCCCAGAGGACGCCCCACCTGGGTGTCACTAAGCCAGCAACAGGACGTTGGGAAGCCAGCGGCTGCGGCCTGGGGAGTCTCTGCGGCACATTTCCGTAGCTTTCATTGCTGAAACCTAAATATATACAGACAGGACACACAGACTTCTCCGGGGGTCTCCTGTGATCTCGGCCAGAAGGCTGAGAAGTGATCAGTGGGACTCTCAGGGGTCATTTTTAAGGGACCAAAGAGGTACAGTGAGGTGTGATACACATTTAAGAGGCATGTGGCACCTTTGTCAAAGATAGGGAGGCTTAGTGTGTTTGCAGTTGTTTTTACACCTTCTAACCTATTCTATTGATTTCCATTCTGTTTTTTGCCAGTGCCACACTGTTTTATCACAGTAGCTTTATAGTATAATTTCAAGTCAGGGATTGTGATGCCCTTTGTCTTGTCTTTGTTGTCCAGGATTGCCTTTACTCTTCTAGGTTTCTTTGGTTCCAGATGAAGTTTAGGAGTTTTTCTCTAATTCTGTGAGGTACGCTATTAGAATTTTGATTGGGGTTGTATTGAATCTGTGTAGCAGTTTTGGGAGTATGGCTATTTTCACTATATTGGCTCTTCCTACCCAGGAGCACAGAGTGTATCTCCATTTTCTAGTATCCTCTTCAGTCTCATTTTTCAGAGTACTGTAGTTTTCAATGTGAGGTCTTTTACATCCTTTGTTAGATTGACTCCTAGGTACTTCATTTCTGGGGGTGCTATTGCAAAACGTATTGTTTCCTTGATTTCTCTCTCAGTGAATTTTTTATTTGTATACAAGAAGGCTATTAATTTTTGAGTGTTGACTTTGTAACCAGCTACATTACTGAATTGGCTTATTAAATCTAGAAGTCTTTTGGTGGAGTTTTTGGTCCTGTCTTCTTTATTATCAATTTAGTTGAGAAAAAAAGATGATATTTCCCACTAAAGGTTCAAAATCCCAAGTGCTTCACCTGGAAATTTTTAAAGAGACCCAGAGGTTCGGCTTCCCAGTTGAAATGTCCAGGTGAGTCCACTGCCCACCTCCAGTGCATGGTGAGGGAGCCCCAGTCCCTGGGCTCAGTGATCCTGCGTCCTGCCAGGACTCCCGGCTGCTGTGCTGACAACCAGTGACTCTGATGGTGACAAAGGACAGCAGTGTCAAATATTAACAGAGCGGGATTTATGGAATAGTTCTGTGGGGCTCACGCACACGAGCAAACTACTGTGTCAGCTTTTTAAAACAATAAGCTCAGTGCTCTGCTCTTTTCTTCTTGCACCCTGCTTTGGGCTCTGGGAGCAAGGACAAGTCAGGGAGAACTAGAGGGGAAGCAGAATGAGGCCTATGAAAACACAGTAAAGGCCTGAGCTGCTGCCAGGCATGGTGGCACATACTTATAAACCCAGCTCGGGGCACGCTGAGTCAGGAGGACTAGCACGAGTTAGAGGCCAGCCTGGGCTACACAGTGACTTGAAAGCCAACCTGAACTAGAGTGCATAGTCTGGTGCACACACACACACACACACACACACAGCAACTGACATGGTGTATACGCTTTCTGGGTTCCTCAGACTGGTGCTCCGGTCCCTGTCACTCTCTGTTCCTGTCTCTGTGCCACTTTGCTGAGTCACAGATAATTTGCTAATTATAAGTCACATCCTATTTTAGAAGTCATGATGACTTATGCTCAAATGCTATGTTCATCATGCTGATAGAAAAATTGTGCTTTCACCTGCTGGGTAAGAAATAGGAAGAAAAATGGAGAGAAGAGGAGAAGTTCATTTGGAGACCTTGAGACCCTGTGGGCAGTCGTTCCCTGGCTCAGAGACACAACCTGGTCCCTGTCAGGAGAGCAAGTTCAATGACAGCTGGGTGTTCTCCTGTACAAATCATACATCCGCCTGGTTCAAGGGTGGCATAAAAAAAGCAGAGGGAGGAAGACAGAATAAAAGGCCTTATGAAACATTAACAACCAAAGAGGCGGCATTTTTTTTTTGAATCAGGAATTGAACGCAGGTCCTCGTGCTTGCCAGGCTGACACTGTGCCCCCGAGCTACTGACTATACTCCCAGCCCAGGGAGCAGCATCTTGTCTCGAGTGAAGTCAGAATACAGTCATGTGCATGGCAGTGGCTGGCCAAGGATGGACCGCCTGTGATCGAGGTCCCATGAGGTGACATTGCTGAGCCTGTCGCAGTCCTTGTGTAAGTCTGTGATGGTCATGTGATGAAAACACCCACTAACCACAGTGTCCTCAGAACACATCCGTCATTACGAGACGCGTGGCTGGACCTGGCCTGTACTGACGTGAGGTTTGGACTGTATTACAGAGTAACTTAGCTACGTAGAAGAAAAGTAACCACGAGGAAGAGCACATTCTTGGAGGTGTACACTGACATGTTTGTGGGTGTGAGGACACTGGCTTTCAAGTAGCCCAGCAATTAAATAAAAAAAGAGAGTGGTAAATGAAACAAATTTGGCACAATGGAAGTTCATGATATTATTTTCTGATCACTAGAGAGCTAATAAAATACATTACAGGAGCTGCCTAGTACTCCTGAATCAATCCATGGTGGATCCATTTGGTCTTTTTCTTTCTTTTCTTTTCTTTTCCTTTTTTTCTCTTTTTGGTACCAGGAATTGAGCTCTGGGTCTCCTGCTTGGCATGTAGCCACTTTGCTACTGAGCTATGTGCCCAGAATCTATCTCTCTATATATGGGGGTGAGGGGAGGCAGAGACAGAGAGAGCCGAGAACTACAAACAAAACCAAATATACTGTCCTTGTGTACACACACTGTGTACTGTGGTGGACTCACTAATGGCACCTTGAGATACTCAGCTGAACTCAGTCGGTGTGGGTCAAGGTGTGGAGGGTCCACCTGAGGATTGCTGCCAGCAGGACAGAAGTGGAGGGAAGATGGCACGCTGTTGCTAGAGAAGCTCGTTGTGCTGGTTTTCCAGACATGAGCTCACTGCTCTCATTGTTGGAGGAGCCGAGGGTCCTCGCTGTCACTGAGGATGACTGCAGTTCTCTTTGGGGGAGCTCTGATCCTTACCTTGAGCATCATTTTCTGGCTCCAGTGCGGATTCTTCAGCCTGCTGGCATGGATCCTCCATGCCGCTGGTGCAGACTTCCTAGTTTCCAGCGCAGACCCTTGGGCCTTTCCAGCACAGATCCTTGATACAGACTTGCATGAGACATTGCCATAGGCTCTAGGCCTCCAGCTGACTCATTGCAGGGCATTGTTGCGGATCCAGGTCCTCGGTTGCATTCTTTGGGTCTCTAGCGCATGGACAGATCTGTTGTGCTCTGTTGTGTTGACTTTTTGGGTAAATATGATAGAACAATCTTACAAATTATGTGTCCTGTATTAAATCTATTTCCTTACAAACCCTGACTACAACATGTACCAGGCACAAAAAGCCAACGTATGTAAATAAATATCCATATACATACACATTACGAGTGTGTGTTGGTTTTTAACTATGGTTCTTGGCTCATCATGCCCTCTCTAAACCAGGACACAAAATCTAGAATTTCTCTTTCCTAAGTTTGGTCATAGAAGCTAAAAATATACCTTCACGCTTCCAGCCTTTCTACCTGGGAGTTGGCTGTGAAGACATTCTCGACACACCTTGTTGACTGCAGATCCTAAAACCCCCATTTAAGAAGGGTGCTGCCCCAGGTCAGAACCAGACTGGACAGACAGGTCTCGCTAGGCCTCCCAGCTGCCTATTCATGTCAGAGTGTCCTGGTCCGCCTGTTGCCCACACCTGTCATTGCTCTGCAATGAAATCCCCATAAAACAGGCCTTCTGGGGAGCTGGGCGCTGCGTGGGTTCTGATGAACAGTGTGGCCAGAAGGAACGTGGCAGCTGTGTTCCCCAACTCTCATACCCCACCGTATGTCTCTTCCTCTTTCCCCTTTATAATAAATCAGGAAATGTTTGCTCAAGGTCTGTAAAGCAATCAAGTAAATTAATTGAGCCCAAGGAGGAAGGGGTTATGGAAAACAAGTCTTACAGCAATCAACCAGCACAGGTGTAGTCAATCTGGGGCTTATGCTACAACTTACAAGTGCACCACCGGGGGTGGGAGCCCCAGCCTTGGGGACGAACCCCTGTGGCATCTGAAGACAGTATCAGAATGAATGAGAGGACACCTGGCTGACATCCCCTGCAGAATTAGTTATGAGCTTGCTTGCTAGTGGGGAGAAATTATTTGGGAACTGAAGAAATCTATTTTGACTGCTGAAGGGGTGAACACAGTGTGTTTATAATTTCCTATTTCTGGTGGCTGTCATGGCCAGGCCACTTATTTTATTGTTTTGATTTTTGAGATAGTTTCACTCAATAGATCAGGCTGGTCTTGAACTCACTATGAAGCCCAGGCTGGCCTCGAACTTGTGGTGATCCTTCTGCCTCAGCATTCTTATTGCCCAGCTTATGTATGTGTGCCACCACGCTGGGTTTTTCAGGCTACTCTGCTGAAGTGTCTGACTGCGGACTCTCACGCCATTCTGTCTTCTTCATGGCTCCTTTCTTCCTCATTTGCTTTCCATACTTCATGCAGGTTTAGGGTAAGAGCACCCAGGACAGGGATTTGGCATCTCATCTGAGTGGCCTTTCCTACCCAATAAGGCTCCTACCCTTGTGGGAAGCACAGATTACGTACAGAACACTGCCCACCACCCACAGCAGAGATGTGCGCTCAGGGCCCGAGTGTGTCGGAGCGCGGTGGGGCAGCTGTCTTCTGTGTCAGGAATCAGCACCAGCAAACATCAACATCTGTTCTTCAATAATTTATTTTTTTAATATTAACCTTTTGAAGTTACATTTAGGAAAATCTGAAGAAATCCAATAGTTGGCAACATCTAGGGGAAACAACTAAATGTGCAAATTTCAAATATTTCCTTTAAGTATAAATAATTTCACTGCTTCACGCTGAGAATGACAATATTGGTAGACACAAGATACTGACTCATAATTTCAAAAGAACTACCTTCTTTGAAAAGAGGTGGGGAAGATTTAGGGCAACAGGAAAGACATCTCAAATAATCTGAAGAAAGGCTACATAGTTATGGGCTATAGAGATTTTCAGATCTCCATTTCAGACCCAAGTCCCTCGCCCCCCGCCCCCACAGGGAGAATATGACCCTACCACAAAGCACACAGAGAAAAAGCAATCTAAAGACAGACAGAAAGGTCCTCGGCTAGGATGGCTGGGCTTGTCCCGTGGCCGAGGTGACCCTCCCCAGAGTCAGCACAGCAAATGAAACATCATGAGAAGTCTCCCTGTCCTCAGTCCTGTCCCTGCTCCTTCCTGGCTCTTCTCGCAGGCGGTGGGAGCAGCAGACAGTTTCTATCAAGCGGCTGGAGATGCTCAAGATTCTCCCAAACGCACTCTTGAAGCCACACCTTCTTTCCCAGGGAGACAGCAGCAGTGAATCAAAGAGGCGCCTGCCCTGCCAACTGTGTCAGACACCTGCTAGATCCCAGAGTGTGCCCTCAGCAAGTGTGCTGGCCCAGGAGACAAGGCAGAAGAAACATCTTCCTTTAAATAACCAAAGTTTGCAATATAATAAATAAAGTGAAGGGTACCGTGCTGCTAGGGCAGCATTTAATATAAAACCCCTCATACATAATATAAGGGTATTATTCATCATGTATACATGTTTACACACAATAATTCAAAGTGATCTCTTTAGAAGGCAGGTAACGGTAAGCCAGAGCTAAACACTGTCCCCCTAAGACCTCACTGTGAAAGAGTGCATGTTAAAGAGCAGCTTGTTGGCTTCCTCCTGTGGAAACGATCTGTTTTTCTACAGAACCTCGGCTTGGGAGGGAAGCAGACGACAGTGGGCAAGCCCTGGCTCCTGCCGCTCTCTGAACAGGCCCATTTTTCCTAAGCTCCCACCGGCTTCCTGTGGATCCCGGTCCTGGAGGAAGCTGTGGGAATGGCTGGGGCTCCGGCCCATCTGTCCTTTCCTTCTCTCGCAAGAGGATGCAGCATTCCTGGTGGGCGAGCCAGGCCTCTTACCTGGTGGACAGGAGCAGCTCTGGGCCGATCCCGACACCACACTGCCAGCCACGAGCTCTGCTCTCAGGTCAGTGGGGCCCAACCCGAGTGTCACAGGCACCATGAAGAGCTTGTCTTCCCTCCTTTGCTCAGAGACACTCTCCAGGCCACTGTCCCAGGGCTGCTTCTGGTGGCACCCAGGGGACGGGAGTACAACACCACGATGAGCCCAGCTTCCGCTTAGCCATACATCTGCTTGAACTGGAAGCACTCGTTACAGTAGCCGTTGCACTTGGAGTTGCCAAAGTGATCACAGGCTGGGGCCCGGCAGCGCTGTTTGGGGACCTCTTCGGCCGCAGTGGGATCCCCGCGGTGGGCCCCACGGTGCTGGCCGAGGTGCCTGCACTCTATGCAGAGCTCCTCACTGCGGCAGGCCAGGATGTTCTTGCAGGAGGCACGGGCGCACTTGGGCCTCGAGGTGCCCTGAGAGGTTCGTGGCAGGTCTCGGTGCTGGCTGGATCTCTGTGTGGGGAGGACAGACAGCGCTGTCAGACCTCACTGGACAGTGCCGATTCTACACCGGGACTTACTCTGAGTGAGGGAACAAGGGGCGCCAGGGGCAGGTTTCTTTCCGAACCCAGTGAAGCCTGTCTGGCCCAGGGTGGAGGACTTGGGAGGCCTGTAAATATGGCTGGTGCTCTTCCCTTGGGGTTAACAATCAGTGCTCTAATGAGACAGCTCCCACCCCTTCTGCACACGACAAGTGACATCCAGTCGTGTTTGTACCCCTGATCTGCCATTAGGTGGTGGTTCTGCCTCATGGTTCAGCCCATGACAAAGGATTACAGGAGAAGTCTGCTTTGTAGGTGTGTGTGCTTCCACTAAAAGCCAAAAATCTTTCTGATCAATGCCTGGCTTTCTGATTCTTGAAGAGGTTTTATTCTATGGCTTTTTTTTTCTTTTGGTACGGAGACTCGAACTCAGGACCCTGTGCTTGCCAGACAGGTGCATATGTGACTGAGCTATACTCCTGGCCCTTTCATTGATTTTTTAAAAGTGACCTCTCAAGTCCACTTAGACCATGCAAATCAACAGCAGAGCTTCCAGGCCAGGCAGCCACAACACCGTCAACACCTCAGCCAGATCCTGCATCAGATTCTCCTAAGCAGCCCTTTGTCATGAGGAAGATGAGCTGGCAGGGAGCAAATCCCACCTGTCACAACCTTACAAGAACAACCTGACCCAACATGGAGGGGGAGCCCCTCAGAGCATCTCACCAGCTGCTCTTCAGTCCTCTTGGCCTCCTGAAATCTCTGGTTCTGCGCTTCAATGAAGCACTTCTGACAGTACCCTTCGAACATGGTGCTTCCGAGGGTGCCGCACTCCCTGCCCAGGCATGGCACGGCGTTCTGGAACCTGGAGCCTGTGGGACTGGCTTTTCCTGGGGCAGCAACGAAATCTGCGAAAGAGGAGACGTTGTTCAGGATCACAGCTGGGCCACACACAGAGATGCTGATACCGCTTTACATTTTCAGCAAAGTGACACCAGGACAACTGGCCCATCCTGCGCTCTGGACCTGCAGCTTGCATCAGTAACCAAACCAGCGGCAGACAAACTGCCCACCCTTCTCTCAACTCGGATTTCCAGAACTGCAAACGCTTTCCGACAGTGTCACTGCAGACTTCCCACTTGCCAGCGACTACTCAGCAGGTTGAGTCCATTATCGTACTGATTTACTTATTTTTTGGATTTTTGGCGACAGGGTCTCACAATGTCCTTGAGGCTGGCCTTGAGCTCACTCTATAGCTCAGCTGGCTTCAAACCTGCTACCCTCAACCTCCCTCAGCCTCCTGAGCATTGGGATTAAAAATGTGTGCCACAAGGTGAGTTTCTCAATTGTACACCAAAGCTGCAGAAGTCTAGTTTAAACTGTGTCTGATAAACAGCATCCAATAGCTTTATGAAAACAAACTCTAGCACCTGGGCCATTTTGGCATTTGGCACAAAGTAACTAAGAGCTGCTGCCACTGGATACGGGCTCTGATGCCCATGCACAGCTGGCACGGCCATCACAACTGTCCCCAGGCGCTGCCCCCTCCACCTGACCATGCCAAAGGGCGCCTTCTCTTGAAGTTCAGGAACAAACCCCTTGGGAACAAGAACTTTGTCACTGCACTCACGTTTGTTTTCTTTGTATTCGATGAAACACAAAGTGCAAAAGCCTTTGTTTTCCGGAGTCCCGAAATACATGCAGCCAGCTTTCCTGCACTTGCTCGTCCCAGTCCTGTCCCCTGGAGTCCGTTCAGCCTGAGACAGGCAACCAGAGGGGGTGTCACTGCCAGCTCTGTGACAAGAATGTGGGGAGAGACTTTGCATGAGCTGTGAGGGGTCAGACTTGGACCTCTGGTGACAGGAAGAAAGGGTGCTGGAGCCCAAGCTGGAGGAGGATTCTGTCGTGGTCCTTTTGAAGCAAGAACTGCAGATCCCATTAAATGTCCTGGTGACGTCCTGGAGGCAGGCCCGGCACTTTCCAGGATCTAAATGCCTGGCAGTGTCTGCAGTCTGGTTGGCGTTCAGCTGCCGGGCATTGTGGCATCGCTCACAAAACCCGTTGTGCTGCACGTTCAGTGTGAAGGGGCAGCCGGGGCTCCTGCACTTCATGGCCGTGGTCTCGCTGAACAGGAAGAGGCTGGGGGCTGTTGGCGGGGCCGAGTGAGGTCCACCTGCTGGCTCCTCAGGGCGCCAGGCTGAGTGCTCGAAGGCCTCTCCCCGAGACGCCCCAAGTGCCATGCCAGGGAGCCCCTCAGGGCCAGGTTTGGAGTTCAGCTTTGGGAGTTTGGTTTGGTTCTTTTGGCGCCTCGCTGAGCACTCGTGGCATAAAGGCTGGGTGTTTACAGACATGAAGAAAGGACAGTTGGGTGTTTCACATTTTACATCCATGAGGGAAAGCTGGGGCGTGGCGGGCTCCAGAGGGTTCTGGGGGTGCACCCCTCTCCTCCCTTGCTCGTTGTTTTCCTGCCATTTCTTATACTCATGCTGAACAAGTTCAAAGTAGTCATCTACCAGATTTATCTCCTTGGGTAAGTTAGCTTCATCCAACCTGAAGACCCAAACGGGAAAAGATGAGACCACAGGAAATGGCATGCAACACTCTATCACATTAGCTCCTGTGCATCTAACTTCTCAGAGATCAAATTTCCAGTAAAATATCCCTCAGGCTATGGCTGGGGTATGGGTCACTTTACAGTGCAACCAACTCTAGTTGGTACTTTGTGTTCTGGAGTTTGCTGGCTTTGGTTTGGGTTGGTTTGGGTTTGGGTTTTTTGAGACAAAGTCTTGCTATGTAGTACAGGCTGGCCTCGAATTCACTGCAATTCTGCCTTAGCCTCCCGAGTGCTGGGACTACAGGCATGCAGCACCACAGCTAGCCTGGAGTTTGGTGTTCTTAATTTTAGACATTTGTCTGGTCTCTACTAAAAGTTCTCTGCCACGAGTACTGAGGAGCAGACCCACCTGCAGAGGCTATGTTCTGCCCACTCTGTAGGTAGCTCCTCTCCACCTGGAGAAACTGATTCTGTGCCCTTGCTGTGGCCTCACATATTCTATGTTCTAGGAAGCAGGCACTTCAGTAACCTAAAGTCAGGGCCTAGAGCTTGGACATAGGTATAATGGGAACTCTGGGGGTCCCCTTCCATTTCTCTGTGTGGCTGCCACATTAACCCAGTGTGTATCTGTCCTTACCAAGAAGGCAAGAGGAAAAGGATTTTTGCTTACAGTAGTTTTCAATAGCTCTTATTTCTAATATGTACTAGAGCCATTGGTACAAATATGCAGATTCAGCTTTAAAACTGACAGTTTTGACTCTCAGCATTCCGATACCTGGAAAATTGCATTGTTTTCCATTGGAAACCAACGCCTTGAGCAATTCTCTCTGCCTCTCTACATCTGTTTTCTATTGGAGGAAACTGTTTTTTTGCAGGTAATTTTACTCTTGAGCTTTGGGGCGGAGCCGCCTACATGGCTAAAGTAAAAGGTAGTTACAGGTGACAAAGGAAAATATTAAACCGCTTACTTTGCTGCATTAATCAGATGAGTGGTGCCATGGTCCCAGCCCTGGACTGGGATTTCTATCACCATCAAGTACTCCTTTAAGAGTTTTTCCTTCATCTCATTTTCGGGGTCGGTCAAAAAGTGGATTTTTAAGTCTTCGAATCTTCCTCGGTCTCTGTTAACAAGGGGCACAGCTCGGATTTCTGAGGGGAAAAAATAATATGTAAGTAAAATATTACTTTCCCATAGGAGGTTGAATATGAAGCTGTGTGTATGTATACAGTGATTAAATTCTGAAAACACACAAAGCGTATCATTTAAAGAGTAGAAAGCATCATCTGGTCACAGTTTAACCTGCATCGGAAATCAAGGTGCTCTCAACTCTAACGTAAAATGCACTGTTCCCCAAACACTCCTACAATGTTAACCGGTCAGTTGGCACTGGATCTTACTGGTTAAACTTCCATGTTTAAGAGCCAGATAGGCCCGAGTTCAAATCCTTACTGTGTCACTGTCAAGCTATGTACAGTAGACAGATTGTTTAACCTCTGCCAAGTTTGATTGCAGAGAGGCGCCCAGGACAAATCTGAAGGAAATAATGGACCTTGGGCCCACAGAGCTGAGCACAGGGTGGCTCCCATCAGAACACCAGCCTAGGTGCTAATCTGATAGACGCTGCCCACTTGGGGTCCAGCACTGCACTGTGGCCTATCATACCTTAATCTGTCCTGCACTAATAGGATACGAGTTAGAAAGTACTTTCCTAGTTTTATCCAAAAAGGCAAAGGATATGACCATTCCTGAGACTGTATTAGTAGTACAGGTATACACTGCAAACCCAGACTTTGGAAACTGAAACTTTTGAGAAGATTATACAGTATTTTGGTTTAGGGATGTTCAATTAGTAAATTTAAATATTTTAAAAATCTGAAAAATTCAAATGAAATCTGCAACATATGTCTCATCCCAAGCATTTGAGATAAGGCACACACGCAGCCTGTACTAAGCAAATGACATAGTGATACATTTCACCAAAAGCAATACACTTCAAGTCAAAGAGCGAGCCTTGATGTTGTCCCAGTTGCTGACAAAAGTTAGGAATGTACACAGGTGCCGTTTCCTTACCAGGTCCGCTGTCCTTCAGTGTCACCAGAGGTACGAAGTGGTGGCTATCGTAGCCGAGGACGATGGGGTACCTGTAGCACTCCTGGGCAGGCCAGTGGAGAGGCAGGTAAATTCCACCCACTTTCAAAGGGGCGAAATTGGAACCTGACTCCAGGCTCCTCAGCATTTTGTCTGCTCAAGGAAAGAAAAGGAAAAAAGTCACCATGTGACTTTTATCAAATGCCACCCAGCATTATTACATGCACCTCTGGGAGTGAGGCTTTTTCCTAAGAACCGATCCACTACAGCTGAACTGCATGGAAAGGCAAACAAGCCATTGGAGGGCCTCTCACCTGAGATGACAATGACGGGCCTTCTGAGGATATTGCAGAGCACAAATATGTGAATTTCTTCCAAGGAGCTGTACTGCAGCCCACAGCAGGCTGCCGGGGAGTCTGTGGATGCCATTCTAACGAGGTTGTCCCATTCGTCATTCCAGTTCTAAGGGGAGACAGGCCAGAGTGGGGGTTGAATGCATCTGTACTAGAGAGCCCTGCCAGCAGGACCCTGTGGTTATGCACTTGTAGAACCTGGCTGTGTTTTCCCCTTCCTTGAAGTCATCACTCAGATGACCACCCTTCTTCCCCCATTTTGGTTTTCTTTATTTACTTTTTCCCACTGCAAAGCAAACTCAATGCTTGGGACGGCACCTGCTTTCAAAAAATCCCTGCTGAGGCAGAACACTGAAATCACTTGTCCGACTGTCCACAAAAGTCCCAAACCTGTAACCCCGACTGCTGAGCTTCCTCAGGGCAGTCTGTGATGGGCAACCAAGGCGAAAAGCGACAGAAAGGCCCAAGGAATGGCCGTGGGCAGGAGAACTGCTCCCGGAGAGCCCCAGAGCCAGCTGCTGGGGCTGCTGCTGAGCAGTGTCCGGGCACAGGAAAAACCTGGGATCCGTTCCCTGGGAGGTTCCCGGGGTTTTCCATGGAGTGTGCTTTGCTTAGCCAAATCCATGTGACCCAGTCACTCATCTGCTCCGCCAGAGGCAGGGATGGCTCAGAATGCCCTTTACCCACATGGCACTGGCAACGGATGCTTCTTCCAGGAATAGAACGTACCCGAGTGTCATAGCAGAGCCCCGTCTCCACGAATTCCTGAGATTTCAGGGACTCGAGCTGCCAGCGGAATTTGAAGTTGCGTGTGTCTGTCTCCTTGAGCGTGCTGAAGAGGGCTTTCCTCAGAACCAGGTCTGTGTCCTGGACGCCCCACAGGTATTGACAAGTGGCATGCATGAGGCAGTTACCGTCACCTGGGAGCAGAGGGACGTAAGGAGCAAGGTCAAGCCATCTGCACGTACGGACCTACAAAGGTTTGCAGAAGAGACTGGCCCAGCTGCTATCGCAGGGGCTGAGGGGCTTGGTTTCTTCATCAGGGACCCACCAGTAACATTTCACAGTGTGATGACACGGGGAGGGAAACGTCACTCTGGTTCACGAGTGGCACCCACAGGGCAGAGGAGCCAGAGGCCCTGGCTTCCAGGGCAGTGCTGCTCCTAACCAGTTTAGGTGACCCTGAGGAAACTGACGAAAGCCTCTGGAGAGCTTCTGGCTTTGTGAAATGAGGGTTCCGGGTAGTGAAGGTCTGCCATCACCTCAGCAGCAGTCCTCTGTTTGCTGGCTAGGGCACCAACACTACCGCTCTAAGTAAGAGCACCCGGGGCAGCGTGTGCAAACCAGGAAGCAGGCATGGCTCAGCCTACTAGACAGAGATGGTCTGGCTATGACTCAGTGCTACATGACTGGAGCATTCCACTGTAACTTCGGGGACCTGGGATTTTCCTCTCCTGGTTTGTACCTACACTTGCTGGCCCTGCCTCCAACCCCACCAAAATGCATTACGGGAACCTGCTCGGGAGCAACTACCAATCCGTTTTAGAAGTTAAAAAGCATCCAGATGCCAAAATGTTAAAATAATTCAGTGTTCAGAGCTGGCATTTTGAGAAAAAGACCAATTTTCTTCCACTAATTTTGACTTTTCCAGGCTAAAACTCACAATTCAATAGGACTTTTTTTTTAAACACCCACATAATAATAAACATTGGGGGGGATATTTAATAGAAAGAAAAAAAATTAACTTCTTAATTTCATGTTCAAGGACAAAGTAATTTTTTAAAAAAATGTTAAACTGTTCTCTTACACTATTTTTAGTAAAGCAATAATTTTTAAATATAGTCAAAACAGAATTCACACAAATGAACAAAAAGATCACCCAAGCCTTGTGTCTTGGCAGAAATGTAGCAACCATTGCATTCTGTTGAAATTTCCCCTTTGCAAAATCTAGAGCAAAGATAAGGCTTTTTTTTTCTGTCTTCTTGTGCTTACTTTCAGTTCTTTATTGAGATGCACCAGTATAAAATTCCCTAAGTAACATCTGGAATTCCCCAGTGCTAAGTTATTTGACTAGCAATTGAGCAACAGCTATTGTACGTTTTGTTCTGGTGTGCAGACATTTACACTGTGAGCTGCGTGCTGGACTTTCCAAGTGGGTGTGGTCAGGGTGAGCTGGAATAGGGCTACTCATTGTACAAGTGAAATCGTGGCAGCCAATAGACGATGGAATTTTTCACACAAAGTTTCAATTTTATGCCACCTACTCCCTTCCTCATTCACCACAGTCTCATATCCTCAAATGCAAACTTGTGAATCACCCCCCTCCCCACCAAAAACAGAACATTGACTTTGAAGAAATCTTCCTATGGAGTTAGTATTCAAACAAAAAAAGTGTTAAAAATTAAGATAAGAACAGCCCCTTGTTTCCTCTTTACCTTAAATAGCATTTCTTCCTTTTTTCCTAATTTTAAGAAATTGTTTTCAAAGTTGGAAAAATCAGATTTGGGGACTAAAAATTCCTGTTTCCCAAAAAAGTTATCAAAATACACTTGCTTTTGTAGCATAAATCCTTGTTGATTTAAATGACAGATTACTGCAAAATAAATGCCTACTCTTTATATTCTTTTCTTGAGGAAATAAAGGATTTCCTGCCTTAAGGAAATAGTGCAGAATGTAGGTTAATTCTGTTGAAGATAAGGTTTCCTCCTTTCTACCTACTCCTAATTCTCTCAAAATGGACTGACTCTTTTTTTGTAACAAAAGTGGGACAGAGTTGAAACCACAGACTGTCTGTCAGGTATATAAGCCCCCTGAGGACGACTCAATATAATTATCTCCTTCTATGCATCACTTGATTTAATGCCAAGCACAATGTAGAGAACAGCTATCTCCAGTTTTCTTTGAGCTTTTGTTTCTAAGAGTCTTAAGCTTCATAAATGTAGGTAAGATGTTAAGGTGATGTACAAGAGCCTCCAGAATAAAAACAAACAAAAAAGCCCCACCTCCACCAATAATTTTGTGTTACTCAAGTCAAAAATAGCCAAAGCTAATGTACCAATTAAGTGATTAAGTTAATGTTCTTATCATCATCATTGCCAACAAGGATTTTGTGCTCTTGCCGGTATTATTTTGATCAGGATAGTTTAGTCACTGATGAAAAGATCTAAGAGCACTGCTCTTACCTAGGCAACAGGCATTTAATTGATCTTATATAATCTACTTATTTATTCTACTATCTATATGCAAATAAAGCAGAATTTTATACTTGCATGAGACAGTATGTGCCTGGATGTTTTAGTTTGTGTACATACATTTTCTTGATTGAAGAAAATGATTAAAATATAAAACAGTAAAGTTTGGGGCAGGAAATAGCTATTACTGATATAGTGGCATAGGACCACAGGCAATAGGACCAAAGTAAGGGAGGAGATGACCACTTCAGACCCTCAATAACTTTACCCATAAAACGTACAACCCAAGAGCTATAAGGACATCACAGGCATTTTCTAGGAATGGCATGAAATAATAGTGACTCTGGTTTTCAATATCATGCTTCCATTTGGACTTAAACCTTTTAAAATGTTTTCATTATTGGCCAGGGAAGGGCATTTTACAGATGATTAAACAGCTGCAAGAATTAGAAACATTAATCACCTAACTGGGGCATGGTGTTGAGAAAAACACATTTCCCTAAGCCCCAAAGCCCTATGCAAAGGAATGCACGTGTTTAGAAAATAGGCTTCAAGAAAACAGTCCCTGAATCAGCTCGCTTCTCCCGCGCACCCCTCAGAGCTCATAGGCTAAGGTGGCTCTGATTAGTGCAATTGAAACTTCTCAAATGGGGAGACTGCACCGCCAGACAATCAAAGCTCGTCTTACCGTTGGTTTTGAGTGCCACCAGCTTCCTGACTTCGCGACACCAGTTGAGCTTCTTCTGGCTTTCCAGGGAAGCCTGGAGGTTTCTGTCGATGAGAGCTTTATGGATGATCTCCCGGAATTGAGGACAAAATTGGCAAGTTCTGAACATTTCCAGGGTGTACCGGTGCATGGTTTTGAAATGATGGATGATCCCGTTGGTAGGTTTGAAAATGTCTTCTGGAGTTCTCTCTCTTATCTTCACAGCTTTCCGCATATTGCTCAAATACAAAGCCTGAGGAAGGAGTTGTTCAGCCATGGTGTCTACGATGCCTGAAGAGCGGGGAGAAGAACCCATTCCGTTAGCTGTCTTTGATGCTACTCCTATATACCTGCCTGCAGGAAACCCCACTGTTTGATCTTGTCATTACCCTAATCTGTAGGCAAAGGATCTTAGTCACCTCTACTCCCCGGATACCAGCCGGCCCCACAGATGAACTCAGACTGGACTGTTTTAAGTTACATCACTTTAAAAGATTAGTCTAAACAAGAGAAGGAAGGTGGAGAGCAGGGCTGAGGAGGAGGGGAATAACCCGTGTTTTCAGTAGCATCTATCAGGGAGGCAAGCCTGTCTGTCAGTGGCAGGTCCCTGGCCACAAAACCACAGAAGCTCCACTGAAGCTGCCTTCTGAGGCCACCCTGGAATGGCCACTGGATGCCAATTAAGGGCACCATGGAGTCTAGATAAGTCCAGCTCCTCCCCCAAGACCAATACCATTCAATCCTCATCTTTGGGCAAAGCCTCGATTCCTCTTTTAAACACCCCCTCTTCGTGTAGGACCATGACTATTTTGGTAAAGTCCTGCAACTTTCTGCTTTTGCTTAGGCTACTGCTTGGTGTTTCCTGTTTAGCCCCAAAATAATGTATAAAGAGTTTATTCCTGAAGTTTCTTATAATACTTAGAGTAAAAATGGAATAAACAACAAGCAAACCTACTTCCAACAAGACATTGCGTAGCTTCAAGACCAAAGGGCACCATTCGCTCAGAACCTTGCTACTGGGCTAAACTCACAACACGAGACTGATAAACAGAACAGTAATGGGTCAGCAGCTTCTACACTTCCAAGAACAGACATGGGAGCTCAATGATTTGGAGTCGTCTGTCAACCACATTTTAGTACTGTCCCACAAGTTCCAACATTCAGCTGCATTTCCAGCCCGTCCTTTAGCCTGAAATTGGCACGCATATCAACAAGCGGAGGAAATGAAAATCTGGAAGCAGGCAGGGAAGAGGTTTCAACTACTCAGGACGAACGAAAGCGGAGTGCGGTCAGACACCAGTATCCATTGCCCACTAACATCCCCAGCAATCTGCTTCACTAGTCCTCCAATGGTCACCTCAATAGCCTCCCTTATTTTCGGGAAAACAAAAGTGTCCCCGGTAGGAAATTTCCTTGCAATAGTTAACCCTGCTCCTGCATCACACTCTCTGCAAGGACAACCCTCTAGGAAAGAAGGATGTTAAACCGGAGGGAGAAGAAATCTAGAATTTAGGGAAGCCGTTCTGGGAAGGTGTCGCTAGTCTCTGACAAGGTAGATTGCATTCTTGTGGCTCACTTGTCAGACTGAGGTTGCACAAGGATCTGCATTGAGATTCCTGATCTGATTGTTGGGAGAGCCTCCGGGTCAGATGGGGATCTCTCTACTGATAGCAGTTATTGCCTCAAGTGGAATTAGGCAAAAGCATACCAGAACTAAGGACACAATGGTGAGACAAAAATGTCACATGCATATCCTTGATGATGAAGCAGAAGTCCCTGTCGCAACAGCACGAGTCCATGTATCCAGCTCACCAGATCACTGGGCGCCAACCACTGCTTGAGGCTGGGACTAAGAGTCAGATGGGATCTTATGCGTCTACTTGAAGTCACATAACTACCTTGGTCTGCAGCGGCAGCAACCGAGGTACAGGTCCTGCACAGCCCCACAAGCGTGCAGGGGCGGGGCTCTGTCTCCCAGTGCCTGCCCCTGGCCAGTTCCATAACACAGCACCTGTGGCAGACACAGGGCTTGCAGCTCTCAGGCAGTAACAGCCAGGCAGTAGGAAGACTACACAAAGTACCCTTTCCCCTTTTGGCTTTTCTGACCTATTTTTTTTTCCAGACCTAAAGACCTTGCAGCAAAGATCTAAAGTGTTGAGCACTATATACCACATGCAAGACACATTCCACAACTCAGTACAATCTCAGTCCGTCCAGTTTCTCTCCCCACAGTCTGCTTTGACATCAAGATGACCTCTTTAAAAATAAGCCAAGCTCAGAGCCCAGGTTTTCCAGTTCCTGGACTTCTCCATGCTTGAGATTAAAGAATACACTTTTCTGACATATAATTGTAATGTCTTTACAGGGAAACACATATAGTAATACCTTTTTTTTTTTTTTTTTACATTTGTTACCTCACTGGCTTGTTTAAAGATAATTTCCCAATTTTTGTCACTAGGATCAATAAGATTCTACAGAACTTAGTCATCAGTCTTTCTCCCTTGTTTTATTTTTTCCACTCGGGGCTGACATTTTGTCTGCGATGTGGAAATTTATGAATTATTTATCAACAAAACTTAAGCCAACCCTTAGTAAATATTTCTCCCAAAAACTGGATTGAGAACTCCAAAAGCTGCCGGCAGCACCTTACTTAGATAGTCGGAATGGGCCACGGACTGGCTGCCCTGTAATCTGGGTCTTTAGGCTGCGGGACAGAAGGCTCAGTAATCACCAGGGGTTGTCCCAGTAGGCCGCCCTGACAGTGGCCAGGGCTGGCTTCCCAAGGAAAGATGAGAGGCAAACAGGACTGAAAACAAAGCAGACTTTACTTGTCACAGCACACCACTGCTTTCCTGAGAGGCCAGGTAGCAGGATGTGGGACAACCGAGACTGATGAAGACTGAGTGTGGGGTAGAGACTGGCAGGGTAAAGCCAACGAACCCTACTCCGTGCAATTCTTCTCTCAGCTGCTGCAGCCCAGAAGCCAGGGGCCCGGCCCGACCCACCCCCTGCACAGAGCACCCAGCACACAGACTCTGCCTGGGGCCCCAGGCACCCCAAGCCTGGCTGCCCTGCGACACCCATCCCTGCTGGGCGGGCTCTGCAGGATCTAGGACGAAACCGCACTGCTTCTGCAAAGTACGTGGCTACGAGCATGCAGCGCTGATTCCAAAACCAACACGTGAAAAGGAGCCAAAAGGCACCGAGGGACGCGTCTCCCTCCACCAGCCAGCTGCAGTCCAAAGTGTCTGCACTGTGGGCGGCGGGAGGAAGCCAAGGCTGTCACCCCAACAACTGCCACAGAGACCTCGACCCCAGTACTTCAACACCCGGGGCGGCAGGAGCGGTCCACGCGCTCCCCCGACCCCAACCGAAGACAGCTTTGCAGACCCAAGCGCGCCGGCCCAGGCCGCCCGCCCCGCGCCAGCGTCCGTAACCGCACCCGCTCCCGGCCCCGCGCTCACCTCTCCGGCCGCGCGTTCCGCTGGCAGAGTCCGGGTCAGAGCCGGCGCGCACGACGGGCGCGAGTCGGGATCCGGGTCGGAATCGGGGTGGGGGTCGCGCCGAGGCTGCACCCCATGGACGCCCGGACTCAGGCTGGCTGGCTCGGTCGGCCGGCTGGCCGGCTGGGGGTGTGGATGCGTCCCGGCGGCCGCCGCTCCGCCCCCGCAAGCTCCGCGCTCTCCGAGCTGCGCCGCTGCAGACTGTGCAGTTTCCTTCTCTGCCTCGCAGTTGTACCGGCCGCAGCTCCCGAGGGGATTTCCACTCGGGACTTTCCGACAGTCACCTGACGCGTGGCTCTGAGCCTAACACCGCCAGGGGGCGCGCGAGGCCACCAGGGTCCCGGCCCCGCGCCCCGCCCCGCGGGCCCCAGCTAGAAACTCCTGCGCCCCGCCCCGGGGTGTCCCCGCCTGAGTCACCGGGCATTTCGGAAGCTGCCCTCCACGTCACATCCATGTGGAAATTGCGGTGATGGGAACTACGAAGTCGGTTCTTTCTTTTTTTACAACCGTTTTTCTGCAGAAAATATCAAGTGTGGACCAGGGTGGGAAATCAGAAAGACTAAAAACCCTAAAAACTACCGCCCGGTACCCGCGTCTGGGGCTGGGGCTGGGCCGCCATGCATCAGACGCAGGAGCATAGCAATCCCCGCGCGCGGCTTCTCTGCTATGGGAAATCCAGAGCACAAAGAGCAAAATCAAGAGAAATGACAGGAACGGGGAAAGCTTTTGCAAAAGCAAGGGGTGCAAGACAAGGGGGCCGGGTGGGGAAGAGTTGGGGTGTCCTATCCCAGTACCGGCGCCACTCGAGAAGTTCGGCCTTGGGTACTGCAAACACGCACTGATGCGAATTAAAATTTAAAAAGTCAAATGCCAATTTCCAGGCTCCAGAAGAAAAATCTGGGCTGGGATTCACGTGCTTCAAGGGAAAGCAGTTCGATAACCTGGCGGGGATTTGGAGAAAGAGAAGCCATCCAGCTCTGCCTCCGGCCAGCCCTGCCCCAAACTCCAGGCCGCTGGTCCTGTGGCCTTGGATGCTGGGGCAAAGGCCAGGCATAGATAAAATTAGCTATGGGAGCAACCCCAAGCCCACTCAGCGCCCCCCAGGGGAAGGGTCACATTCAAGGAGCATTTCAAGCTGGGGGTGAAGGTGCAGGCCTATCCTCTCAGTACTCTGAGAGGCTGAGGCAGGAAGATCACAAATTCCAGCCCACTCTGGGAAACGATTCGGCAAAACCTTTCCTCCAAAAAAATTGTTTTGTTTTGTTTTGTTTTGTTTAAGGGCTGGAGATACAGTATAATGCAAAGGCCTTGGGTTCAATCCCCAGCACTGAAAAAAAAGGTATTTAATAAGCAGTCTAGCCCCAGACGGACTCTGCTTTGCCTGCTTCAGGCTTCCAGTTTCTAGAAGGACTAAACTGTGACCACATGGAAAAATGTTGGGTGCCATGGAGCCCTGAGAAGAGCAAGTTCCCTGCCAAGTAAGAACCTGCAGAAATTGGGCTGGAGGTGGGCTGATGGAGGGTGCCACTTCTGCATAAGGAGGCTTAGACCAGTGAGCAGTGGTCTCTTCCCCTAGGCGGGCCCTAGACTTTTGTCTATTTTTGAGACAGGGTCTTGTTATGTAACCCAAGTTGTTCTTAAATTCTCTTCCGAAACCAGGCTGGCCTTGAATTTTCAGTAATCTTCCTGCCTCAGCCTCCTGAATGCTGAGATTATAAAAGATGCCAGTATGCCTGACTGGTCCTGGTCTGATTTCGAGGGTATTTTGTTTTTCCTTTTTTTTTTTTTTTGTTTTGACTGAGGGTCTTGCTATGTAGCCTGGGCTGGCATCGAACTCATAGCATTCCTCTTGCCTCAGTCTCCCAAATACTGAGATTACAGGCGTGTGCCACTATGCTGGAGTTGGTCCTAGTCTTTTTAAGCCACTGGCTGGAATTTTTTTCAACTCCAAACCTCTTACTAGTATTTGTTGTCTGCCGGTTCCCAGGTTTTTAGCAGTCACCATTCCAATAGAGGCTGTCAAGTCAGTGATACAAAAGCACACATCCTGGGTACTTACTACCAGCTTCCAAACACCTTTTCTTATGAAGCTTAGGAAGCTGCAGGCATCCCCCGTGGATGTTCAGCCTTGAGTAGTGAGGTGGCCGGTGGGACTGGCGTGGCCCACTCTGCAGCCACACTGCTCAGGTGGCCCTGCAGCTGCGCCTGAGGGAGACTTTCCACCACCAAGGCAGGTCTAGCGCCTGGGACACCTCGAGTCACTTAGCAAACAGGGGCCCAGTCCGACCCCAGAAGCCACAGGGGCACTGTCCGTGAGAGGGTGGAAGGAGACGCTGGATGCAAAGGATGACACTAATCCGCGCCCCTCCCTGTGCCCCCAGCTCCTGTCAATTCCGTGCCTGCCTGGTCACTCCATCTTCACCCAAGCTGGTCCCATGCTAGGGGTCCCTCCCTGGCTCCTGTCTCCCAGGTTTGCTGAGTGAGGGAGACACTGCAGGGAGCAGGGAGCCCCAAATGCTAGGTTAGCTTCTGCCACTTCTGACCGTCCTGACAGCTGTCACCTTGCCTGCCAGGATCTGTGGCAAGGACATAACAGTGGTCAGGGGAGTTTGGTCCTGGATTTTGTTCTTTGTTTTCCCTGGCTCTGCTACTGATTTCATAGCTGCCTACGATGGATAAGTACATGTTTTTAATCCTGGCTACTTGAAAAGCTGAGGCAGGAAAATGGCAAATTCAAAGACAGCCTGGGTAAGTTAGTGAGACCCTCTCAAAATAAAAAAGGCTGAGAAGTTGGACATAATGGTGCACACCTAGCACTTGGGAGGCTGAGGCAGGAGGCTCACCATGAGTTCAAGGCTAACCTGGACTAGGTAGCCTGACCCTGTCTCAAGAAAAAAAGGGTGTGCATTGCAAGATAGTGAGGAGCAGGAGAAACCCAGTCAGAGGGGCAGACTTGACAAACAGGAAGGGGTCTATCTCAGCTCAGTGCAGTTCAAGAGCTCCTTTTTGTTCCCCTCCCCCCCTCCTTCCTGTTGGACACACAGGGTCTCACTATATACCTCAGGCTGGGCTTGAACTCATTATATAACCAAGACCTGAAACTCATGATCCTCCTGCCTCAGCTTCTCAAGTGCTGGGATTACAACTGCTCATCCCGCAGGTGGCCCAGTGCATGATCCTTTCATGATCAAGAATCAGCAACAGTGTCTCGCTGAGCATGCACTGAATCCTGGGCCATGGCAATCACGGGTCCAAGCAAAACTGGACATTTTGTGTCCACTCTACCATGTATTGCCCCCTTTCCCATTGTCCTCTTTGGGGTATTTGTCATTTTTGCTTCCTGGCACTGAGGATTGAACCCCGAGCCTTTGCACTGAGCTACATCCCAGCCCTTTTACATTTTTTTTTTAAATTTTGAGTTAAGTTCTCCCTAAATTGCCCAGGCTGGACTGGAGCTTGCACTCCTCCTGCCTCAGCCTCCTGGAATGCTGTAATGGCAGCTGTGTGCCACAGCACCTTGGCTATTTGTGCTTTGGTGAGCAGGCAGCTCTATTACTAAACAGACACTGAAGCAGTGTCCTGGGTGGATGGAAGTTTAGTGATCATGTGGAAGACTGGATCCTGCTTCACATGTTAGTGGCCCTGGAGGGCTGCTCTTGCTGGGCCTCTGTGAAGTGGCTTCTGAGGAGTTGACAGGTGTTCCCTGTGGACCACAGTGTGGGCAGTGAGGCCAGGGATTTGTGCACCACTCAGGGCCACTTTCTGCTAAGCGGTGGGTCCTCCCTAGGGAACCCCGTGGGGATTATTTGTGGGACAAGAGACCCTGAAGCCCGAGGGAGTTGCCAGCCCTGCTGGGAAGCCCGGCCTGTGTCCCCCTGGCCTGGATGCTGACCTGAACACTTGTCAGGAAATTCGCCCCAGGATTCCAGTGTGATTTTCTGTTAACACTTGGCAAAGTCATTGTATTTCACCTCACAGACCCATTCAGGCCTGCTTTCACTTTTGCTTCTGTGGCAGCCACTGGGAATGACCAGAAGCGAGTGACGACAGAGGCCGGGGTTCTCCGAGGCTCCCCGCTTTGGCACCCCTGGCCTGGCTAGGAAGTGAGCCGGCAGCCGGGTGCTGGGCCCATGGGAAACTCGCTTGGCTCCTGTTTCACTTCCCAGATGGAGGTCGAGTTCTGCCTAACCCGCTCCTGCCCTGCCACCCCGGAAAGGGGATTTGGTTTTCCACCCCTGGGCCTCGAGCTTTAGCTGGATCAGTGAGGAGATTCATGTCCCTTCTCCCAAACAGAGCGTGGTGTTAGGTTTTGTTAGACTTCCGACTGGAATCAGAGCTTCCTACAGGTTAGTTCTGGGAGCTGCAGGCTGGAGAAACACTGCTGTGCCCCCTTTCCCTTCTTTCTGTTTCTGGGTGGGGCACTACAGGGAACTGAGTCCAAGGCCTTTGCACTGAGCTAACCCCCAGGCCTTCTTGTTCATTTGCTCTTTTTTTGTTGTTGTCTTTCTAAGACAGGGTCTCACTATGCAGTTCAGGCTGGTCTTGAGCTCACTCTGTAGGCCAGGCGGTCTTGAACTTGCAGTGATCCTCCTGCCTCAGCCTCTGGAGTACTGGATTACAGTTGTACACTACCACACATGGCTAATTCATTCGTCCATTCTCTCTCTTTTTTTTTTTAGACAGGTCTTACTAAATTGCTAAATTAACCACCCTGAACTCAAACTTAGGCTTCTCCTGGCTCAGCATCCTAGAGTGCCAGGATTCCAGGTGTGCACCATCCCACTTGGGATATTTCCACAACTCCGAGAGTTCATGGTAAAGACACACTATGGATGTGGTGACACTCTGAAGGCTGAAGAACAGCCTCACTGTTTTAAATGTACACACCTTCCTCCTTTATTTATTTTACCCATTGACAATAGCCCACTTTTAATGAGGGGCTATTTCTTCTTCTCTACCATAACCATTTACATTTCATCCTAAGGCTTCTGTGTGTGTGTGTGTGTGTGTGTGTGGTGGGCTCTAGGTTTTCAGCTGAATTCATGCAGGTGATTGCCATGGGATCCAGGCCCTCAGCTGGATTTTCTAGGTCTTTAA